CACCAAGATTCTTATTTAAGATAGAGTGAATTTATAGCACACCCATTTACTATTACTACATGATTTTCTTTATCCTTGCTTAGATGTAGAAGCAAGTGGAAGAAAGTTCTGGGTTTTGCACAGCAGGTATAGTGAATGTTCATAAGGCTAAGAGGTCCCAGGGAAATAGTGAAGACAATTAGAATGACTGATTAGAATGTTCAGATTGAATAAAGAGAATTCACCAGTGAGGAGTAGAATAGTCTGCAGTGGTCGGCAAACTGCGGCTCGTGAGCCACATGTGGCTCTTTGGCCCCTTGAGTGTGGCTCTTCCACAAAATGCCACGTGCGGGCGTGCATGTACAGTGCGATTGAAACTTCGTGGCCCATGCGCAGAAATTGGTATTTTGTGGAAGAGCCACACTCAAGGGGCCAAAGAGCCACATGTGGCTCATGAGCCGCAGTTTGCCGACCACTGGAAGGGGATGAGAAAGGGGGTAAGAGGACAAAATAACACAAGAAAAGGCAAAATTGGGGGATTGCAGAAATAGAATATGAATAGTGAGCAGAGGTTTTGATCAAAGAGAAGAATTTCTAAATTTGAAATATTAGAAAATTATTCATTTTAAATTTTTGGAAGAGATCAGATAGAGACACCTATTTTATTAAAACAAGAATGAATCTTTTTCGAGTATAAGATATAATCTAAATTTCTTAAATATAAGTTTTATTAAATTGGCATTATTTTTCTTTGATATTCTTTTTTTCTATTTTAATAAATTTAGCTGTTATTTTCCATGTGTAATTTTAGGTTTTGGCTGTATCTGAAGCTATGTCAAACTGTTAATTTGTCTACAATATCCTCTACTCCTGTAGTATCAGATACTGAAGGAGAAATAAGGATTGAAAACCCTTTTACCAAGTACTTCATAAGTTGCTTGAATTATTTCTCATTAGCTTCCACATTTGTAAGCGATAATTATGCTGACATATTTTAGAAAGCGAACATAATGCTTGATATGACTTCTCTCATGCCCAAACAAGAGAATATTTATACATGTAAAATTTCTTTGCATTGTTGTTGTTTGTGTGCTTCTAACATTGCTTTGTTAGATTATAGCTTTCTGAGAATAAGAAATATATATTATTCATTTTGATTTTTACATGGTGTCTTGTAAATATTTATGATGAAATAAAAGGTAGTTGGATTTAATTGCTTGAAATTATTTAAGTTATTAAAGTATTTATATAAACAACTGCACTAATTTGGGAGGTAATATTAGACCAACTTCTCCATTGCCCCAGGACTAACGTAGAAGAATGTGTGAGGTTTTTATAATTAAAAATAAAAATTTTGTAGCTGGATTTTAATGTGATCCCTTAAACTGAACATGTGATTGAGGCTTCCTTTTGGTATCATCTAATAATAACATAACACCTTTGTTAACATTTTATAAAATTGTTTCACAACACTATTTAAGTTTAAAATATTTGCTTGTATATGTTCATGTTGACCAATGTCACCCCAATAAATTTAATTAAAAATAATAAAATATTTGTATATAAACTATTTGTGACATACAGGGTGAATAGAACCCAATTTTAAACAAACCAATTTTAAAATTAGGCATCTGGTATCTGAGAAGTAAGAGTATTCTCAAGGTCATAGAAACCTTGGCCGGGTGGCTCAGTTCATTGGAGTGTCATCCCATACACCCAAATGACGCGGGTTCAATCCCAGGTCAGGGCTCATATCCAAGTTGTAGATTTCATCCCCATTCGGGGCATGTACAGGAGGCAACTAATTGATGTTTCTGTCACACATCCATGTTTCTCTCTTTCTGTCCCTTCCCCACTCTCTCTCTCAAAAAAAAAAAGTCACAAAAGGTGCAAGTGATGAACTGTGTTTTTTCATACACTCACACCTCATTTCTAGGAGTCTAATTTCATCAGTGAGGTAATACTTCTTTGGTTTGTACATTAAAATTCCTACTGTCACATTAATTATTCCTCTAAACATTCTATATATATGAACAAGTACAATTTTATGAAGGCCAGATTTGCAAACAATTATTAAGGTTAAAGTAATACATTATTTTATGTATCTAAAAAATTCTGGTGCTAAGTGATTCCAATTTTTAAGTTACTATTTTCCTACTCTGATTACAGTGGAACACTGAACTTAAAATGTGAATAGGTAATGTTTCATATGTTTTACATTATTTAGAGAGTCTGTATAATTTGCCTAAGAAGGATAGTGGAGTGTAGCCCTGTGAGATATACTAAATACATGGTCCCAGAACAAATGTTAAAGGAAGGCTACAAGCATGGAAAAGAGGATAACAATGATTATTCACAGGTGTAAAGATTAGGACTCAACAACATCAATAAATCTGGTTTTAGGATTCTGAATTCTTTTCTGGTCTCTTAAGATTCAGGCTGACCTGTGGGCATATATTTCATTGTTAACATAATACACCGTGGGAATATAGGTAGATTACTCTAAGAATTTAAATACCTGCAATGTCCTAAGTGCTCTCAGTAAGAGAAACTCAACTTCTTAGTATGTTACATAGTAAAGCCGTGAAGCTAGTACATATTTTATACAGTTTGTATGAGTCACAACCATATCAACTCAGGTATTTACAGGAGCATTTTTTGAAGTAGGACTCTAAACCCTATGTATAATCTAGGCAGTCTTATTTTTTTTTCTTTTTTTCTTTCCTTCCCTCCTAGGACAGATATTTGTTAACTGCTCACTATGTTTTAGGCTATTGAATCATAGCAGCAAACAAAACATGCGAAGTTCTTATTCTCATGGAAATTATACTGCATTGGTTGGAGAGAGAAAAGAAAATAAGCAAATAAATCCTATATAATAAAGAGCTAATATGCAAATGGTTGTCATGCCCTTCCACCATCACAATCCATCACCAAGAGGCTGTGTGCGCAGCGAGGGGGGGGTGCGGGGGGGGTGTGGGTGAGCGCGGGTGGGCAGGGACTTGATGCTGCATGTGCGGCGTGGAGGCGGGTCCCAGCGGCTCTGCGCGGTGATGCTGGGGGGCCTGGCAGCTCCATGCAGCAAGGCCTGGGGGTCCACGGCTCCACACAGTGCAGAGGCGGGACCCCCGGCTCTGGCCTACCTCTTTGGGGCAATCCATCAGGAGCCCCAGATGGGTGGGCAGGGCCTACCTCTTTGAGGCAATCAATCATGGGGCTCCCGCACTGTGAGAGGGCACAGGCCAGGCTGGGGGACCTCCCCCCCAAGTGCCCAAAGTTCATGCACCGGGCCTCTAGTATTAGGTATAGAAAGAGGCAGAGAGCTGTTTAATAGCAGGCGATGAACCATCTTAGGAACAAAAATAATGAATGAAAATAAGTTTGTTTATTTTTTCTAAAAAAAGCCCTGGAGTAAGGATTTCAATGCTTTTAAAGAAGGTAATCAGCAAGGGCCTTTTGGATAATGTGATATTTGAACAAAGACCTGAGTAGAAGGAGGAACCCACACTTGAGGATATAGGAGGGCAGAGAGATACCAGGCAAGAATGATCTGAGGCAGGACTGAGAGTGCTTGCCTTGTTTGAGAACCAGAAGGGGGAGGCATGGCTGACTAGGAGAGACTTAGGGATGGAAGGGTAGGTAGCAGGGGCTGGATCATATAGGGCTTCTGATTACTATAAGAATTAATATTTCATTGTGAGTGGTTCAGAAAGATACAGGAGGGTTTAGAGAGGGAAGTGACATATCAGAGGTTCACTCTGGCTGTTGTGTGGAGAAGTGAACCAAAGTTGGTAAAGTAGAATCAAAGAGGCTATAAGGTGTCTATTGCTAGCAATGGTGGTCTGGCAGGGGCAGGTCTTAAAGGATGTGGTAGGAAATGGTGAAAATAGGGATAGGCTGATAGAATGTGGAATGTGACAGAGGACTCAAGGGTGGCTCCAGGGTTTTTGGATTGAGTGCCTGGTAAATGATATTGCTATTTACCGAGATGGGAACAACAGGATTTATTTTTTATTGTATTATGTGGATCTCATTTCTCCCCGCCTACCTAATTTTTGCTGGAAACTGGAATAGATGAATAGGTAGTTTGATTTAGACTATCTTTTGCTTGAAAGGCAGAATAACAGTGGTGATGGCAATAAGTAATATTAGATAGCACTTAAAGTTTGCCAAATATTTTTTTATCCAGTAATGCATTTGAACTATGTGGTCACACTGCTGATTTCTGCACCTAGTCCTAACTTTCTGGGGAAAAAATAATGAATGTTTTTATTACATGTAAGGTAATTTGTAACATAGTTTAAAATACATAAAGAATGGACAAACAAAACAGAAACAAACTCATAGATACAGAGAACAAACTTCTGGTGCCTTAGGGGAGATTGGTTGGGGACCTTGGTAAAAAAAGGTGAAGGAATTAAGAAGTACACATTTGCAGTTACAGAGTAGTCATGGGATATAAGTTTATCATAGGAAATACAGCCAATAATATTGAATAACGGTGTATGGTGCCAGGTGTACACTAGAATTATTGTGGGGAGCACCGTGTAAATTATATTATTGTCTAACCATTATGCTATATACCTGAAACTAATATACAATAATATTAAATGTCAACTGTTGCCCTGGCTGGTTTGGCTCAACGGATGGAGCGTCGGCCTGCAGACTGGAGGGTCCCGGGTTCGATTCCGGTCAGGGGCATGTACCTGGGTTGCGGGCACATCCCCAGTGGGGGGCGTGCAGGAGGCAGCTGAATCGATGTTTCTCTCTCATCGATGTTTCTAACTCTCTATCCCTCTCCCTTCCTCTCTGTAAAAAATCAATAAAATATATTTTTAAAAAAATGTCAACTGTCATTTGAAAAAAAGAATAGTTTACAAATACTGGAAAAAGTGAACTAAGCAAAGATTAGTTCTTGAAATATATCAAATAGGAGTTAAAAGACAGTGAAAATGTACTGTAATGAATGGTATTATCCATCCAAATGTGAATTCATATATATCCTATAATTTGTCTCTCAGATCCAAGGTTCATTAGTGCCCACCTCATCCCGGAGAGTGACAACCCTGAAGATGACAAAGTATATTTTTTCTTCCGTGAAAATGCGATAGACGGAGAACACACTGGAAAAGCCACTCACGCTAGAATAGGTCAGATATGCAAGGTGAGGTAAAGAAAAACAAATTGAGGAAGATACTGTTGAATCACAATTTTATTTCTTATTTCCTCCTATGTGCAAATGCAATGAAAAATCTGACTAAAATACTTGAATTATCATTATAAATATTTAAATGGTAAAAAATGATTGAAAACATATCATTGTTTATGAGTAACTCTTCATAGTCAAACAAGCAAGCAGAAGTTGTGAGGCATTGCTTCAAAATTATATTAAGTGGTCTTAGTTTGAAATTCTAGAGAAATAAATCTTTTATATTGCCACGAGAATATATACTTTTTTGTATCCTCAGACCTAGCACACTTTCCTATAATGTATAATTTTTAATGAATATTTGTTGTTAGGATAACTAAAGTATTAATATAAAAGTATTAAATATTTTTTTATAAATTGATTATTATAACATCCTATGTACAATGCACATACATAATTTTTAAGCTTTGAAATTGATCTGAGTAATTATTTACTGCATGACACAAAATTAAATGTAATATGGCATTATAATGTTAGATATATATAATAAAAATTGATTGATACTTATGGATTGATTAATATCAGTGTGAAGATATAATGGTACTAATTTCCCCTCTACCACTGTATAGTACAATATATGTGCAATATGGACAAAGTCAACTGTTATTATATATTAAAGCAACTTTCATCTCAGGAGACTCACAAAGCCAGTCCAGTAATTGCCTTAACAGGGAATTCTTTCTAAGACAATAACATGAAATTTTAATAATCTCTGATTGGGAAGGTAGGTTAGCCTCTTTCTTACCTCAATCATGATCCATTTATTTACTTCTAGTATATAAATTATTTGAAAATTAAATTTTTAAAAAAATCTGGAAACAGAAATAATATGTAAACATATGAGAATCTTTTCTTCACAAAATATATATTTAAAAGCACTACTTACATGAGTTTAAAAATATTTATAGTATATAAAATCACATAAACAAAATATAAATCATTATATTTTTGAAGGGACTTTTACAAAATGAGTCTCTGGAATGAGTTTTCTTAAGGTTTATGCAAATATTTTTTCAATATGCTATTGGTAAAGTCATCATTACTTCAACTGTTTAAACTTATATTCAGTGCTAGCATACTTTTCTGTGATGTATTTTCAGTATAGGTTATAAAGCATGCACTTATTCTTTCATTCAGTACATACTTTTTTCAAATATATTTTTAATTGATTTCAAAGAGAAGATGAGAGAGAGAGATAAATAAAAACATCAATTATGAGAAAGATTTATTAAGAGGCTGTCTCCTGAATGCCCCCTACTGGGGATTGAGCCCCAAAACCAGGCATGTACCCTGAGCTCCTGGGTCAAAAGTTCACATTCAACCACTAAGCCCCAGGCCAGGCTCAGTACATACTTATTAAGTACCTACTATGTGCCAATGTATTCACTACTGTGAACCAAGTTAAGTAAGATCTTAAGAAATGCATATGTAAGAGAGAGAGATTGAAACTAAACCAAAACGAAAACAACAGTAATAATTGTTCACTGAAGAGTGGTAAGAGAATGGAAAAAGTGACTTTTTAATGCTAAGGGAAATTTATTGTAAGTCATTCCTTGAATAAAGTTTGAGTGAATAAATTTGACCAGCAATATGATTTAAAAAGCACAGGTATTTGTATCATGTCATTCAAATTTCCTCATTCCTCATTTTGAAATATGAGGAATTGTATTATGAACCTATCTCAAGATAAGAGAAATATCTGAGATTAGCCTTTGCATGCAAAGTTCCCCAAACCAGTGTTTTCTTCTTTCAGAACGACTTCGGGGGGCACAGAAGTCTGGTGAATAAATGGACGACATTCCTCAAAGCTCGTCTGATCTGCTCGGTGCCAGGTCCAAACGGCATTGACACTCACTTTGATGAACTTCGTAAGTACAGCGGGTGATATTTTACAGAGAATGTTTGCTCAGACTTTGCCATAATAATAAAAAATGCAACTTTTCTCAATTTTGTTTTCAAACAGAGGATATATTCCTAATGAATTCTAAAGATCCTAAAAATCCAATTGTATATGGAGTGTTTACAACTTCCAGGTAAACAACTTTTTACCATATTATCATAGAAACTTCGTGTCCTTAGGTGCTTTCTAAGGATCCATAATTTGTGAAAATATATTCATGGAAGAACAATGTTGGCGTAACCTTTGAGGTGTATATTCTTGATGGCTGAAATAAGTTATGATCTCAATAGTTTAAAATATAAATTTTAGCAAAAATTATCACTACAAAAATAATGCTGAAAATGTATGTCATGTTCTATATATAGCTTTGATTTTAAAAATTGAACGCAATGTAAAATTTTATATAACTGGGAATCTGTTTTGTAAGTTTACAATAATATAAAGTAAGAGTGAAAAACATTTTCCCTCCCCTCTCCTATATCATCTCCTCTTCTTCCTAGACCCTTTGTCCCTCCCCCTCCTTTCTGCCTTTTTCTTCCTCCCTTTTTGCCCCTTCCCCCTACTTTGTATGTCCCCCAAGGCTCTTGCTATAAATCAAACAGCAATTATTTTCTATTACATTCAGTATAAAGTTTACATTATCTAGAATTTTTCAAGGAAATATATTTACAAGCACATAAATAAGGATATGTGTTCCTATATGGATAAATGTTTAAAAGAAAAGTAATTTAAAATCAAAAGTCAGGTAAAATGCTTCAGGGGATTGTGATAGCATAAGAGGAAGATTAACTGCAATATCCAAAATTGATTTATTCGGTAAATATTAAAGCCATTGAAAATTAATTGGATATTTTTACTTAATTTTAAAAATAACAACTAAAAATTTAAAAACCCATATTGCTAAAACGATATACAAGCCTAAATTTTGAATGACAACTAAAGAATGTGAGAGCTCCAAATTAAACAAACTTTGACCCATCTCTCTGCTTCCTCAATGTCTGTTCAGTGATTCTCACACTTGAGCATTCATTGCATCACCTAGAGAGCATGTCAAAATACAGATAGCTAGGCCCTGCCCCCACAGTTCCTGATTCTAGAGGAATGGGGCAGGACCTAAGAATTTGCATTTCTAACACATTCCCAGGTGATGCCCCTGCTGTTGTTCTTAAAGAACACACTTTGAAAATCACTGGCTTAATAATGAGTAAAATAATTCTGCCTCTCTTCTTCAGTGAGTTGGATGTCTGCATGTGAGTTAATCTTAACAGCTGTAAATCATAATCAAGTCTTTCAGTGTTGACTTATTTTATCAAGAGATGAGTAGAGTATATAACAATAAAAAATGGTTAATATAAACATTAGAATCTATGATGTAGCATATGTGTATTAACGTGCTCTTCTATTATGAAAATACCAGAGGCCCAGTGCACAGATTCTTGCATGGGTAGGGTCCCTCAGCCTGGCCTGCAGGGATCTGCCAAAACCCATCCGGTGCACAAATGTGGGTCCTCCAGTCTCACCTTGCGGGGATCAGGCTGAAACCAGCTCTCTGACATCCCTTGAGGGGTCCTGGATTGTGAGACCCCCTCCTGCAGGCCCAGCCCCAAGGACCTGGATGCCCACCGGCTCCCTCCTCCCTCCTTCCTCCTCCCTCCTCTCTGGGTCCGGGGTGCATGTGAAGCAGATTCGGGGCTGACAGTTCCCCAGCAGCAACCTAACCCACGGCTGATTCCACAAGGAATTGGGCTCCCTCCTGTACTGGTCAGAGTGTCTGCCCCCTGGTGGTCATTGCACATCATAGCTACTGGGCGGATAGTTGAAGGATGGGACGGTCACTTAGGCTTTTATATATATAGATTGTTATTAAATTCTACAGCTATTTACTGAGATCGACTCTGTGTCAGGGGTCCTGCAATATGCAACTGAAGCTACAGAAAAGAATCCAGGCATGCTTTCATCCCTCATGAAGCTTGCACTCCACTAGACATTATATATATGCAGTGATTTCTGTATAATAAAATCTTATAAACACATGTTTTTCATTTGATCTGATTTATATGTAATTTTCTCTGGGAAAGATTGGTTAAAAGATAAGCATTCCATATTTTAAATGTGCACAACTGTTTTATATCATGGTATAAATACATCCCTCAACATGTATTTATATAAGTAAAATAAAATGGAAAATTGTGGAAACTCATGGCAAACTTCCAGTTTGCTTCAATTACCTGATTTTTGTCTAGCAAAATGATGGGGATAATTGCTATAATACTCCACCTTGACTAGGATGTGATAGCTACTGACTTAAAACGATTTTCTGTGTTGGGAAGAAGTGATTTTAAATACCATCACAAAATTTAGCTGATCTAATATTTATGGTGGTTTGAGAGTTAAAAATAATATAATGTAACACATCATATGACCTTGACTATTCATTTTCTGCTCATTTCAGCTTTAAAATGAATTCTTAAGCATTCTTGTTTAAAAGTTTCCTGGTTTCATTTATGACACATGAGGCTTACCATATTACCACAGTTTATATTGTTATTTCTAGTTGATGTCAAAATTAAACATTATTCATTAGGATATCAGTGTATGTGTTTTTCCTATAAAAGATTATGCATTATATGAATATATATTCTACAAATAATAGAGATGGTTTCTTCCATGCCTTCTATTTTTGAGAATCATAATTTGTTTCTTATGTATTGTTTAAATATATAGATGAATATAAATAGCTCAAACACTATTTGATATTGCTAAGAATTTGTGTTTTTTGATCAGTGATATTCAAAGTTTAAGAACTCAGTATCAACAGTTCTTTTGCCATTGTATAGAGATGAAAATTTGTTCTTGTCTTGTCTCTCTTTTTTAGTAACATCTTCAAGGGGTCAGCTGTGTGTATGTATAGCATGAGTGATGTGAGAAGGGTGTTCCTTGGTCCATATGCTCACAGAGATGGTCCCAACTATCAGTGGGTGCCTTATCAAGGACGAGTCCCCTACCCACGACCAGGAACTGTAAGTAGCCTAGATGCTTAAAATATAAAAAGAGTAACTGTCTGCTTAAAATTTTTAAATAGCAGCTCTACTCAGATATTAAATACAGGTTATGTAAAACCAGGATTCCCAGACTATAAATGAAAGCAAGGAAAGGGTTTCTGTGATACAATGGAACTCCATGTTTAAAACCATCTTCTTTATGAACATCAGTGCTTAACGTCAGTGCTTACCATTATGAATACCCATCATTTTTGAGTAATAGAAACTGAATGGACAGGCTTATTTATTTTGTTTTCTGAATGGGATATAGTGAAAATGGCCTTTATGGAGAGTTGGAATAATTAGGCTACCCCTGGACTTATTCTCTCTGATCATAGCAGAGGCTTAAATGGAGAAAAACAGTTTTTCAACTAATATTGTAGGTAAAGAAAATATGTGGAAAAAAAAATCTCATAGAATGAGCAGGACCTATTACTTTATGAGATGCTGTCTCCCATTGCCAAACTCTCCTTTACAATCTAGCCCTGGGCATATGAAGGCTTAAAAAAAAATTGGACAGATCTCAAAATATAACCAGCTTTGAATCCTATTTAAAGTAGGGACGAAAAAGAAAAGACTTCAGTGTGGTAGCAAATGAAGGAAGTCTTCCTCAATATGATATCAGAGGTAATAGAATATTTTGATAGAACCATTCGCTTAAGTGTGACATTTTTTAATCCTAAGAACCTTTAAGGAAGTACTTTTGTGTGATGAAAAAACTTGTATTTGAAGTCTAACCATTACTTTCATTTCACTTCAGTTTTTTTTAATTCTGTTAAATTTAAGTTATGTTTTCTATGATTTTATTAGACAAATTCTTTTACTAGTCTTGTTTTTCTGTATTGTTACACTTATTTATGAGCAAATTAAAATTTTTCCATTTTACAAATATTATTTCTGGATGATGGATCTTGTAGATAAAAAAATAAACTTTCAGAATAAATGAACAAGGTGGAATATCTATTAATTATGTGAAGCCCAATGGGTTTTATAAAAAGCATAAGATATATAGTCTATTTCAAAGTAAACTGTTTTGACTTTGTTGGTGGACATTTTTATATCCCTATGGCTATTTATATCTCCATGGCTAATGAATGCCACTGTATTCTAAATACAAACTCTTGTGAGGTTCACTTCAACAAACTTGGAATTACTTCAATGTGCTAGATATTATACTACTATTTGGAGTTACAAAGTATTTCATCTGAAGGTGTGTAAAATATATTTGGAATTATTAGAAATAATTAGAAATTATTAATTAGAAATTATTGTGTGCCAGATCCTGTTTTAAGAGATTTATACCTATTTATATATATTGTACTCAATAGCCCAATTATTATTCCCATTTCACAGATAAGGACTCTGAGGCAAGGATAGGATCTAGGATGCAGTCCAGGCAGTTTGGTTCTAGAGCCTGTGCTCTCACCCACTATTCATGGAGGGTTGCTATAACATGGGAAATTAAGTCAGCACATGCACCAAGTGTTAAGGCAGAAGGCAGAAGGCAGGAGGCAGAAAGTATTGCCTGATGCAGGAATTAGGAGACGGATGCCAGGAAGAGATAACACCTAACTCCATGAATAAAATTTACGTGGATGGTTTCATTAATCCCAAAAAGTGACAGCTGAGAATTTTGTCATTCATCACATTACTGGTGAAAAATATTCTGTGACCTTCAAATAATGTGTCAGTAGATGATATATATTTTTATTTATCTTTTTTAATTCTTACCCAAGGATATGTTTTTCAGTGATGAGAGAGAGAGAGGAGAGAGAGAGAGAGAGAGAGAGAGAGAGAGAGAGAGAGAGAGAGAGGTTGTGTTTTCTACACACCCTGAACAGGGATAAAACCCAAAACCTGGGTATGTGTCTTGACCTGGATTTGAACCAGCAACCCTTCGGTTCTCAGGACTAAGCTCTAACCAACTGAGTCTCACCAGCCATGGTAGATGGCATTTATTTTTAAAGGACAACCTGTAACTAAGTAATGCTAGATACAAAAATAAAAGTCCAGAAAGGCAAAAGAATGACACAGATATAAGATAAAATAAAAATCAATTCCTTACTGTAACTTTAAATCACACATTTCTAAATGTTTGCAAGTTATATTTAAATGGTAGTAGAAAAGCAAAAACTAATGATAAATGTCATAAAAATATGCTTTATCATTTCTTCTAAGAATTTATAGAGCTTTTTTATATTTCTATAATATAAAATGAGTAATTTTATAATTTACTTAAACAAAATGTAATTCTTTAAATCCTTCAACTGTTACACTGATGTGTATGAGTGTACGTGTGTGTGTGTGTGTGTATGTGTATATATATATATAATATATATATATTTGTGTATATATATATATTATATATATATGTATGTGTATATATATAATATATATATATTTGTTATATATATATAACAAATGTATACATACATATATGTGCATAAATACATACTCTTTTTTAAAAGAGGTTTATTTATTTTATTTCTCATGAATTATTAATGATAGATATCAAGGTAATTACAGACAATTGATTTCTCCTTCTAACTCTCTTGTAAGAACTTCTCTATATTCCTTTAACTCCAAAGCTGTTACGTTAAGTGGCAGAAATTACTTAAGTGGAAGACAAAAAGCATGAGACTGGAGATATTGTACTCTGAGTGCTTGTACCACATAATTAAGTAAAAGAGACTGTGAAATCTGAATTTTCTCCTTTTTGGCTTATTGCTTTATGTGGAGCATTTACATCCAGTGATGATATTTTGCCAGTGTACTACAGTGCATCCTCTCTGACTCTCTATGGCCCTCATCTATTCTACTTTGTCCATTCTGATTGGTCAGTTTCAGTTCCCTGCAGCTTACCCACTTAATAATACCTGTTCTTATCCCTAAAATAACTTTTTAGTAATAGTTATTTTGATATGTTTTGTGGTACCTTTTCAGAGTTATGCCAGAAACAAAGCAATAAAGAATAGTTTATATTGGCTTTTAGTTTGAAAAGAGCATTTGTATTTTGGCATATACATAGGATAAAAATCAAATATATCTAAAAAAAAGTATTCTGAATCAAATATATCTAAAAAATTATTCTGGATGTGTCTAACAGGTAATTAACATTATTTCTTTTACTTAAAAAATGATTACAGGCCATTATGTCATATATTGTTACACTAGTGCCCTGGTACACGGATTCCTGCACATTGTAGGATATTATTTAGAAGGTGGCCCGTGGGGCAGGACTGGGCGAGACTGGCAGGATAAGCCCTGTAGCCAACCTCCCACATCCCCTCCCCAACTGGCCACACCCAGGGCTGAGCCAAGGCTCCAAGGACATCTGCAGAGTGAGCAGGGTCCCTCCAGCGGGTGGGGTTCCACGGCCTGACCTGCAGGTATCGGGCAGAAACCGGCTCTCCAACATCCCCTGAGGGGGTCCCAGATTGGGAGAGGGCAGTTCTCAGGTGATGCACCCCAGAATGAGGCTCCCTCCACTCTAGTTCTGGGGTGTGTCACCCAAAAACCACAGCTGCCAAGTCACTGCAGCTCAGCAGCTCCTGCATTGAGCATCTGCCCCTGATGATTACGCTTCATAGCTACCAGTTGGACAGTTGCTTAGCCTCATAGATATATAATTTATAATCATATTAACCATATTTTAATCAAAATATATCCTTCTCTTTATCTTATCAGTGTCCCAGCAAAACATTTGGTGGATTTGACTCTACCAAAGACCTTCCTGACGATGTTATAACATTTGCAAGAAGTCATCCAGCCATGTACAATCCAGTGTTTCCTATTAATAACCGCCCAATAATGGTCAAAACAGATGTAAATTATCAGTTTACACAAATTGTAGTGGATCGAGTGGATGCAGAAGATGGCCAGTATGACGTCATGTTTATTGGAACAGGTAAATGTCTGATTTCAGCTCTAAATTTCCTTCAAGACCATTGAATTCAACTGAGTAAGTCTACTGAGAATCAAAGGAAGTTTTTATAGTCATTTTCAAGGTATAGTTAAATGTTAATAAATGACTACAAAACCTGAACATTCTATTGTTATAATGTGTTATCTTTGTAAGCAATTTGACATTTTAAATTCAATTTTTGTTTCAATCAAAAGTTGATAAGAATGATCAGGTAAAGCTAATAATTAGGTAAATAATCAATATCCTTAATTGAATCATAACTCTTTCTGGACAGTGGCTTTTTAGAACAAAGATGTTTTGCTCAAACCATACCTAAACTTGGCAAGACATTCAGTAATGGTTTCTGAATTAATTTATACAAAATTATCCAAACTTTAAAAATACCATAGAGTGTAAATCTCCCAGCAAATAAATTTGGGCAACAAAATTTGTTCAGTGTTTTTGCCATACCATGCGGGGGGGTAGGGGTGGGGGGTCACTATATCAGAAAAACAACAAAATGGAGTTATGGGATCATCACATACATTCTTAGATACCTTTCTATAGAAATTCAACAACATCATTTTAATACTTCTTTGATTAGAAACAAACTTTTTACAGGTATATTTTCAGAAAGAATTCCATTGTTATTTTGACATATTATTTTATTTTTCCCCTCCTTCCTTTAATAATACTGTTTTGAAAGTGCCAGTTACAAATTTGAAACTTGCTACTTAGGGTCAAGTTCCAAGGTAATAAATTCCTCGTCTCCATTAGCATTGTTAACTGACATAAATCAATGGGAAACCGGGTGAGTGCCTCACTGAAACCTGGTATGATAACATTTATTTTCCCTTGGTGAGAAAGAGGTTAAAAATTGCATTAACTACACGGGAATGACAACCTTGGAGTAAGTGCTTTAAGGACTTAAAGTTTTATAACAAAATCGTGAAATACCTATGTTATCAGGTGTAACAGTGTCAGGTTCTGAGCAATACATTACAGTCTACTTTTACGAGAAAGTTTCTATATCAAATGGCAGAATCCCAATGAGACTCAATGTTTGATAAAAGTCAGTGAATTGCAAATATCAACTTCTGATTACAAATATGTTTAGAAATTATAAGATGCCATGACTTCTTTTTTATAAATTTAGTATATTATTTAATGTCAAATTGTAATTAGATCTCTCTACAGAGTAATTAATTTTGTTCACTAATGTCACACTTGCCTTTTTCTTCACCTCTGGCCTAAGCATGTTGAGAAGTCCCTCACTCATTGTCAGTGCAACAAACGCTTGCTTTCGGCTATTTGACCAAAGAAACCCAATCAGGAGTTTTTAATTCTACTTGGACACATGCTGTCCTTAAAGAAACCAGTTTCATGAGCGTGTTGAATGTCTGATGATGTGGATGGCTATCGGTCAGCACAGACCTGGGTCATCTGTCAGCAAAGTAAATTGATTACAGTAATTTTATCTTTTAACTAAGTAGCACATCATAATGTATTGATCCTAGTTGAGTAATCTGATTCAGTTTGTGTGAAATTGTTTGAAATACTACTCGGTAAAACTCGATCTGGAACACAGATAAAGTGATGTTTGGATACTGGAGACCCATCAGAGGCACTAAGTAGTTTAACCTAACTTACCTTTAATCTTTGGTATTATAAGGAGTCTGAGGTCCTGTAAACATAGAAGGATCTTCTTAAAAGAGGAATTTTTTTTAACTTTACAAGGGATACACTAGCAACCTTTTTTGATCTCATATATCACATCATATTGATCCCCTGAAAATGGTTATCAGTGATATGAATACATTGAATTTTTTCTTCTGCCATAACTTATTTTTTACTAGCAAGATTTTCTTCTCAAATAATGAGTCTTTAAACTTGATTAAAATGAGCCAGTTGAAACAAAGTATAATTTATCAGCTGATTAGAATTGAAATGTTGAAGAGTCAAATTTTTTAATTTAATAAGGCCCTGTTCTTCATTTTATTAAGAAATAGGAATGTGCCTGTAAATACTGGAAAATTAATATCTGCTTAACCCAAGTTAGAATAAAAGTGACAGCTCTTGTCATTAAAACAATTTTAAAATTAGAATAAACAATGCTTGAAATCTATGTAAAATGTATTCAACTTAATAGTTTTTATGATTTATGCTTCTGAATTTTAAATTCTTTAGTACTATAAAATTGATTAACCAAAATTGATAAACCAATTATTGAAAAAAAACACTGCAGTAAGTAATCCAAGGTGTTTATTTTGAGAAATAAAGTTGTTGTCATTCATCACTTAATGGTCATCGAGCTGTCTTTAGGGGCCTCTAAGTACTAAAGGCTTTCAGGTGACAAGAGCATGAGCAGCCAGGCTCTGAAGCTCTAACCACTCTACAAGTATCTGTTGCTTGACAACATTCCTGGCTTTTGCAACTACATTAAGTCTTCATAGTAGTCCCGGATTTCATAACAAGAGAGGAAAAACCTGTCATGTCAAAGCTGGTATTATTTTTGTTGTATTTTTTTCTGAGACACCTGACAATTTAGATTAAAAATAATAGTCCAACCTAGTAATTATTATATATATTTTTAATAATGCAATTTCAGGGTGATATCATCTTCAAAGCTTCATTTATTTCTAAACAGTAAATTCTTTTAGTTTTATGCTATGCTTGTAGTTTATCTAGTTGCATGAAAGGCATATGAATATTTGAATAATTCTGTAACAAAAAAATAAAAGGAAGACTACCGTCAAAATGTTCTTTCTGGTCCAATACTGGATCCATTCATTAACACTAAACTCTGTTGAGGTCTGTTTAAATTGTGCTCTTCTCCATTTTCTCTCAAAGATGTCGGAACCATTCTTAAAGTGGTTTCAATTCCTAAAGAGACTTGGCATGATTTAGAAGAAGTTCTGCTGGAAGAAATGGCAGTTTTTCGGGTGAGTGCTGCTTAATTTCAAGTGTTAACAAGTTCACTCGCATGTCTTTCCCCCAGGACAGCTGCACACTACACTTGGTATGGACAAGTAGTCTAGCATACACTTCTAATTAGCTTGTCAATTAGAAAGCCAGACACTAGTCAAAATAAACCTTGAAATTTTCAATGCTAGTAAAAACTAAAAATGTAGAGAAATGTATTCTTGGCTCATATTTTGTTTTCTCAATGATAATATATATATGATTTACATTGTATATTATTTATGTAAGTTACCTCAGTGAACAAACTTCATGAGCCCCCACCTCCAAAATCTTCTCTTTCACACTTTACAGTATAACTGGGAAGATAGGTAACTTCCATGAATGTTAAGGGAAATACTTTCAGAATGATAGGGGAATGAACACATTCAACCATTCTGCAGCTTTTTCATGAATTGTTTTATCATGTTCTTTATAAAATTATTCCTTAGAAGAAAAGTTTTGAGACTTTTATGTCATGGGTGGTACATTTGTTATGGATTCCTACCCTACACTTTTAAGAAATGTACAGATATCTGTCCCTCTCTTCTGAATCACAGAAGATCAAAGCAAATTTACATAGAATTGGGGTAGAGACTGGAGGATATGGGTTGACATGAGAGAGGTCAACTTAAGCAATATAACTTACCACAATGTCCGTTCCTTCTGGAACGCTAGCTAATAGGAAGAGTTTGGTTTGAAGCACACCTTGAAAGACATTATTTATCTTAGGAGAGGGAAGTAGATGTCTATAAAAGGAGTGGTTTTAATTTTTGATAAAATAATAAAGAATCATATAAAATTGCAAAATACACTGGAATTAGAAGATTTTTGTGGATGAGAAAACTTTGGATCTAGTCTTACAACTCAAAATTATCTCACTTAGTCTCCAGGTGTCTCACATACTTTACCTGTAAAATGAAGTATCTGGATCAAATTTTTCAGTTAACTGTTTTAATTGTAAGCAAAGTCTTCCTAAGACATTTCTTAGCCTCATATTTCTAAATCAATTTGTTAAAATAAATTGCCTCTTGCTCACTACTCAGTACTAAAGAAGAAATGAAGTACAGTATGTCAAGCTCCTGATATACACTCATTCAATTAAAATTATGATTACCATTGGAACAATAACTGGTAAATCATGACATAGACATCTTATAATAATACCTAAACAATGTTCCAGTGGAAAGATTTGGGTTCTTCAGTCACAGATACATGGCACTTTTGTTAGGAACATTTAACAATTCCTTTTGAAATTACCCATCAGTAAAACAGCAAGAATAATGCCTACTTCACAAGGAGGCTAGAATAAAGATACTATATGTAAAGCATTTAGGACAGTGCTAAATACTGTACTCATAATTTTATTGTTAACATAATTTTATTGTTTTGGTTTAGCTACACTGAAAATAAGCCACATTTCCAGTAGCACTTTCTACTAATTCCTGGCCTTCAAATAATAAAATTATCATAGTTATATTATGACTAGAGGCCCAGTGCATGAAATTTGTGCACGGGTAAGGCCCCAAGGGGCTGCTGGCTGCTGGCTGGGGCCTCCCTTCCCCAGCTGCTGGCCAGGGCCTTCCTTCATTTCATGCAGCCCCCTGGTGGTCAGTGCACGTCATAGCAAGCAATCGAACTCCCAGTCTGTGGAACTCCCAAGTGGATACTTTGCATATTAGGCTTTTATATATATAGTTTTTAAATCAGATTCTTAGACCTTATTTTATTTATGCCTGACATTGAGTGATGACTAATTCCTATAGTTCACTAAGTCCCACTTCAGTATTTACACATTGATACTTTAATCTACATATTCAAAAATACAATTATCCTAATGGACTGTGTTAGCAATATAGAATCCATCTAGATTCAGCAAACCAATTATGGTCACTGAAGGGGGGTGTATAAATTGCTGTTTTGTGTCCTTTGTTGTGTCTTCCAGAGCCTAAAATATGTTTTCAACCAAAATCTATTAAATAAATGAAGGAATTGGTATTGATGAAAAAAATAAAATATAAGAAAGTAAAGAGTTTAAGGTCTTTCTCAGGAAGACCATGTTAAAGGAGGTGCCAAAGTCCAAGGAAGATAAACCAGGATCAGCAACAAGTTATACTGCTGATTATATCCCATATTACTCTCTAGTAGAAAAAAAATAGAAATTCTACATATTAAAAATTAATATTGCCACCAATGTTGTAAATGAAGTTACAGGGCACACGACTGGTCAACTGTCTGTCCCCTGGTGGTCAGTGCACATTATAGTAAGTGGATGGGCAGCCTTAGCATATCATTAGCATATTACACTTTGATTGGTTGAACAGCCGACTGGACAAACAGACACTTAGCATATTAGGCTTTTATTACATAGGATTATTATATATTGTTCTTTATTTATTAATTCACAGTACAAAAAATATATTTTATTTACCATGATTCTGGCACATTGTTAAATTCTTATGGTTCAGAGTTGAACACAAAAAACACAGTCCCTGATCTTATGTAGCTTACAGACTTTTACATGTTTTCCACCATAGTTTCAAGGACTTAATTTATTATCTATTATTACAGTGAATTTTTATCTTGTACAATCATATCAAGTTATATCATGCCATTTTGAAATTAATAATTGTTTTATTAATTATATTATGGGAGTTTATGAATCAGAACATGCATAATTTTACAGTAACACTATATTCTAGCCAATTTATATTCCCCATATCTCTGGAATTTTAAGTTTACATTTTTCTTCTTAGGTACATTTTTTACTACATTAATAAAAATTCAGTTTAATAAAGATTAATTTATTCTGATCTTAAATGACTGCTAACAAAATCTTGAGAGGTTGCAAACACATATATTTAATATCTATTAGATTTGTTAGCATGTTGAAATTTTCAGAGAAATACACAACTGAGTTATACCTATGATAACTATTAAATGACATTTGTGTAATTTTTAAGATATCACAAGAAAGTTTATCAGTTTCTAACAATTAAATATAAATACGTAATATAGTGCTGGCCTGGAAACAAGTATTTATGATTTTGTAAAAAAGATTTTTGCAACATAGAACACTTATCTTTTCATAGATAAATGTTCCAGTTCACTCCTATGTTCTCTGCTATGCATTATTGTCATTATTATTTCTTTGGTCCTCAAGTAGACAAAACATATTGGGGCAGAGTTTAGAGAAATATTTACTTTCAACATTCTGTTCTATCAGGCAAGGTTCATACATATATTGTGGTCTAGCAATTGGAATATTTCACTGTCAAACTTTGTTTAATTTTGCAGTGGGAGAAAAAAACACAACACATTAAAGCAATTGCTATACACAGTGAAAAAAGTAGAGAAATGTTACAGTCTCTGTATTTCGAAGTGAACCTTATGAGTCATTCTATTTAACATAAAATAAAATTAAAAAGGGTTAACCTGAGCAAGATGGTAGTTTGACAAGATAAATATGCAAGGAGCAAATTTAGGGCCATGGTAGTATCTGATACTCTTAGACTTTAAAATGAGTTATTTAATGTCATCTAACCTGTTAATTTTATCATAATTTCTCCAGGAGACCATATTCATAATGTGTCCTTCCAAGACAGAATAACCAAATCTCAAATGAAATTCTGAATTACAGCCAGTACTATGTCCATTACCATCTTAAGGGTGGTGTTAGGAAAACACCCTAGCTAATCACAGAACATTCCAGTGGTTTCAGTTACATCCAAGATACTTTTATTTGGGTGAAATCACATCCCAATCAGAGTATAGAAAAAAAATATTTCTCTATAATAACATTTCCACTTTAGAATAAAATTTTAATAGGTAGTAAGAAGTGAAATAAAATTGGCATTGTTATAAAACTCTAGAAATGACTTTGAATTGTCATTATATATTCAAAATGACATTAAAATACTAAGACAAACTTAATTCCAAATATTATTATAATCACAAATCTATATTTATATAATATTTACTATGTGATTCTAGGAATATGCTGGTTACAGTCAGTTGATCCTCAACTTCTTCAGTTCATAATTTTTAAAAGTATTTTATAATTATGATTATTTTATGCTAAGTGAATTAAGCCAATCTGAAAACGACAAATATCACATGATCTCACTTATTTGTGGAATCCAATGAACAAAATGAATTGACCAACAAAATACGACCTGAAGCATGGCGGTATGGAACAGACTGACATACCATGTAGGGGTTGGGGGATGAGGAGAGATAAACCAAAGAACTTATCCTATATAATGAAAGGCTAATATGCAAATAGACTGAACAGTGGAACAACCGAACAACCAGTCGCTATGATGTGAACATGGCGGGTGTTGGCAGCAGGCAGCAGAGTGTTGGCAGCAGGCAGCAGAGTGGGGAACATGGCGAGCAGCGGCCACAGGGGGATGGTGGAGCAGGTGAGCAGGGGCTCCAGACTAAGGCGGGGCGCCAGTCACTGTCATCAGGGCAAGCCTCTGGTGGTTACTGAAAATTCTTTGCTCCCATGTGCCACGGTCCCACCTGGCGCTCACACCCGCTGCTGGAGATGGCTCCACTCGCACCAGCTGCCAGCACCCTGTGCCAGCCCTGATCACCCCTGAGGGCTTCTCCACCTGCCCCTGCTCCTGAGGGGCAATTGGGGCAGCAGCCACCGCACACATCCTCTGACGGTGCCGGCCCCACTGAAACCCACTACTGGCACCAGCCACAATCACTCTGCACTGTCAGAGGGTGCAAGCGGGGCCAGTACCATCAGTGCGTGGGAGTGGTGGCAACGGGAGTGGGGCTGCCAGAAGACAGGGGACTGGGAGCGAGGAGGATGGGCCGAGACCTGCCCCTGTGCCCACTGTAGCCTCGCGGCCCACAGTTCATTTCAAGGTGCACAAATTCGTGCACTGGGCCCCTAGTATACTTATATGCATACCCCATGGTCACGGGCAATAGGGTGGTGAAGACCTGGAGCAGGAGAGTAGGGGCT